AAATGGAGTTTTCATACTTGATGAAACTAAGGCAGACTGTCATTCTGTCTAAGTATTTGTTTCAATAACTGTGACACAGACACTTGAGCACAGTGAGATTTGGCCATAATCCAGGTGTCACCTGTGTTGTACCATGCATTCATTTAAAAACCAAAGTGTCAAATGGTAAAGAAAGAGAGGAAAGGGAAAGGAAGGAAAAGAAAAGAGCTATGAAACATAATAAAAATAAGTAGCTGGAGTGTCCCCTACCATGGACTTCCTTACTCATCTCACTATTTAGGAGGCAGAGAGAACTCTCCACCCTGCGAGTTCAACCTCAAGTTTGCCCAGTAGCCTGGCTCTTTATTACTCTCTGAGCTGCATAGTTTGGGTCTGTCACGCTTTTTGTCTGATAAAATAGGCTCTGCCCCTCTTTTATTGGTCTTTGCTTTATGCATAGCTTTCATTTCCTCTTTTGACCCTGGACAGCGGAGTTGCTGAACTGTCCTTGCCCTTGGTCTTCTGTCCTCAGCTCTCCTTGGCTGCTGCTCTATAGCAAATGATATTGCCTAGGCTTTTCCACAAGTTTCTGAAGTTCACAAAATTCTTGGAATACACAGAGGCCTAACTTCAAGAGAAGAAGAAAAGAAAGAAGGGAAAAGGAAAGCAGGGGAGCACTCTATACATCAAAACAAAACTTTTATTCTTTTTCATCTCTCAGATACAGAGGGTTAAGTTGATCACATTTCTTCATCCAAGCAACATCATCGCTGGTCCAAAGTCACTCTGCTTTTATTTTATCCCCTTCTCTCACTTCCTTTCAACTTGCCATAGGCAACAATCCTAATAGGTGCTCAGGTGTTTTCTCTTAAAATATCTAATGTTTTGGGACGCCTGGGTGGCTCAGCGGTTGGGTGCCTGCCTTCGGCTCAGGTCATGATCCCAGAATCTGGGATTGAGTCCTGCATCGGGCTCCCTGAGAGGAGCCTGCTTCTCCCTCTGCCTGTGTCTCTGCCACTCTCTCTCTGTGTCTCTCATGGATAAATAAATCTTTTTTTAAAATCTAATGTTTTGTGCACATGTAATTTTAATTCTGCAAGTAGAATTTTATTCATTAATTTCTTACTTGTTGCTCTGAGCACCATGATTCCACATAGGCTGCTCTGTGTGCCTTTAGACTCTTGCTTCTAGCTGCTTACCTATTAGTTAGATATATACTGTCCACACTATGATTCTCTCACTCAGTAATGGACACTTGGTTTGTATCCAACCCCCTGATGCCACAATGCTGTGAAGAAAATCCTTATACAGGTTCCCTTAGGTATCAATGTCAGAATTTCTCTGGGATGTACACAGGAGTAGAATTACAGGGTTATTATGGAGACAGTAGTTCATGTTGCTACAAGTTTTGGCCTCATAAAAGCACCCATCAGCAGGTCACCCGGGTCACTCAGTTAAGCATCTGCCTTTGGCTCAGGTCATGATCTCAGGGTCCTTTGATAGAGCCCTGCATTGGGCTCCCTACTCGTTGGGGAGTCTGCCTCTCCCTCTCTCACTGCCTGCTGCTCCCCCTGCTTGGGCTCTCTCTCTCTCTTTGCCAAATAAATAAATAAAACCTCTAAAAAAAAAAAGCATACACCAGAGCAGGGAGCACCTTCAAAGGGAATATATTCTAATGGTTATTGGCAAATCACGGGCTAAATGAACAATTGTTTAAATACAGGAGACAGACACATGAATGCTTAGAAACTGCTGCCCGTTAAAGATGAATCAGGAATGAAGACATGACATCTCTAAAATAAAAATGTAAGTCAGCGGGTAAAATAGCTTTGGATTCAGAAAACTACATTCTGCACCCACTTCATGAGAATACATCTAGTGTCAAAAACTCAGTACCCCTGCCTCACCCACCTGTCTCCCCATTCTCCAGCCCACAGGCTCTTCTTGCCCCAGCCACATCCACAAAGCTACCTGCTGTTTGCTAAGTTCCTTTATGGTAGGAACTTTATTTTTATTCTCATTACTGCTGCCTTTTCTGATCTGCAGCATCAACATCAACTGCAAAATTTCATCTTGCACTAGGGCTGTTCTGTAGTCATTGGGGACAGCCAGTGCATGATCTACAGCCTCTCTCACTTCTGTCCAACCTTTGCTCCTCATCCCTCATCCCTACATCAATCAAAAAGCTCAGGCAACCTCCCTGGTCCAACCTGAACCAAACTGCTCTCCTGGGAGCAACACTATGCTCCCTTTTGGAGGAGGAGGCTGCTTGCTTGAGAGGCTCCAGCTTCTGGGGTCCATTTGCATGAATAAACAGCTCTGAAGAGTTCATTTTAAGCTTTTATGTAAACACTCTCCAAAATATGTTCTGCACTGCATTATCCCCAGCAATAAAGATTCTGGAATCAGAATTTGGCTGTCAGTTTTATTGATGTTGCATGGGGTACAGTAGAATACAGCTTTCTCTTCTGGAAATTTATTGACTTGGCAGTGCAGAGAGCAATAAAACTGTGTTTTTAATCAGTAAGCCAAGCGGACATGATTCCAGAAGAAATATAGGAAGCAAACATGCCACCATAAGAATATTTCTCCCCCCACTGTCCCTGTTCTTCTTAGATGCCCTGTTAAATAAGTTCGGGTATTGAACAATGTGCTTAGTGGGACTATCTGCAGGAATAAGATCAGAGGACCAGGTTTGGATAACTTCCCCTAGGTTGTACCATCTCTAAGAGACTGTTGAGTAAAAGCATTTTCCTGAAATGAAATTTCTTTGCATTAGCCCCTAGAGAGGAACTCTTGGTAAGCTGCTTTGCAGGAGAAATTGCCAGAGTATAGATAGCATTTCTCCTTTCAAGAGAAAGAAGGTTACAAAGCTCTCCCTCCACCTTGCTCACTGAGAAAGACTAGGTTACCTGGAGATGGATGGATGGATGGATGGATGGATAGATAGATAGACAGAAAGAAAGAAAAACAGACCTGAAGGAAATGAAATCACTCTAAGAGATATCTGCATCTCCTGTTCATTCTAGTAGCATTCATAACAGCCAAAATATAGAAACACTAAAGCGTCCTTCAACTGATTAATGGATTTTTAAAATGTAGTAAATACACCTACATACACATGCATGCACATACACGCAGAGGAATATTTTTCACCCATAAAAAAGAAGGAAATCCTGTCATCCATGATAGCATAGATGAACCTGGAGGGCATCATACCAAGTGAAATGAGCCAGACAGAGAAAGACAAATACTGTATAGTATCACTTATATGTGGAATCTAAAATCTAAAATAAATAAATGAAACACTAGAAACAGAGAAGAGAAACAATTTCCTAGAAACAGAGAAGAGAATCGTGGTTGCCAAGGGCTGAGGGGAGGAGAAAATGAGGAACTATAGATAAAGGGCACAAATTCTGAGTTATAAGACTATGTTCTTATGATCTAATGAAAGCAGATTTTAAATGTACTCACACACACCCCCGGCCCAAAAAAAGGAATTAACTAGGGAGATGACGGATGTGTTAATTTTCTTAATCTTGGTAATGATGCCATAATGTATGTGTATATCAAATCCCCACACTGTACACTTTAAATACATACAATTATAATTGTCAGTTATTCCTCAATAAAATCTGGGGTGGGGGAAAAAGAGACTAGGTTAGGAATCAAATACTTTGGTCCAATATAGAACAGTAAAAAAGGTATTTGGGCTCAGTGTGCTTGGTCATGTTGCTTTGTTTAGGCTACAGAATCTCTCTGTGATCTAGTTCTTCTGCTATCAAAGGGAAACACCCACCTCACACCATTGTTGAGTGGATAAAATAAGGTTGTGTGCTCAATTCACATAGCACCTTACACCAGTAGCAAGTCCCTTCCGAGACCATAAGACATCTCTCTGATTCAAATATACCCCGATGCAGAAGGTGTGCTTTCCAGGCAGTTAAGGCAGTCTGCTTATAGACACACGAAAAGGAAGGCAGCATCTTCCACCTCTACTCTCATATTCCTGATACTCACTTTCCTCCTGAAGTGTCCTCGTCCATGCTCCTCCTCTCTGCCAGTGCTTGGTCCAAAATCCTGCACCATTGTAGATGCTTCATAAATGTTGGTTGAACATTCATCCCTGCTTTGCAGATGCTTTCTTCTGAGTTAACTTAACCCCAGTTTCCTTTAGCACGTGTACATCATCCCGTTCTGCTTTTGCTATTGCTGAGTAACTGCTCTTTTCTCAAATTTTACATAATGCCTAACTTTTATCTCAATTCAAGAACATTTAGATTGTTCCTCTGAATATAGGTGAGTGCCTGAAAGAAATGTTCTGTAGATGTTCCCCCAAAATGGCATGAGATGCCCATGTGATTGAGCCATAGCAGCCACATGATCTGGTTGGGCGCATACTGAAATCGGCTGTCTGGGGAAGATGGTATAGATCAAAATAAGAACATGTTCTTAGTGAATCTTCCCTTCTCCCACCAGTCTGGTTTCCAACTGTATTTTCACCAATCACTTCTCCACTTTACCCAAGACAGTTTCTTTTCCATCTTCCCAACCAGGTCTATGGGGCCACCTAGAACTATTTATCAACTATTTACTTGGTACCAAGCTCTGTTCTTTACATTACTTACCCTGATTAGTTAGCATAAAAACCTGTAAAGCAGAAATTATTATTCCAATTTTACAGATCTGGAAACAGAAATAGAGGGCTTAAATAACATCCTCAGGATCACCTGGCCAGTGAGAGAGTGGGGATTTGGACCTAGGTGTATCTGATCCCAAAGTTTGGGATCTTACTTACAAAATAACATACTCTTTGACATAGACCAAGAGTGAGTCATGGCACATCACTTTATTGATATAACTTAGAATTCTCCATCTGAATCCAATCATTGGAACTCTGTAGTCACACATGCATGCGCGCGCACACACTCACACACACACACACACACATTTTATTCATGAACTTAAAAGATGCCCAGTCTTAAATATTAAACTCGTGGCTTTCCTTTCTTCTTTTCTAGATCACTCACCTATCTCCCTATCAAACTAGTCCCATCTCAAGCTTTCAGAGGACTTAATGAGGTCATAAAAATGTAAGTAAGATACTGCATATCAAAAGACATTCATAATTGGAATAATAAAATTTTTGCAAGAGAAAACATAATTGAAAAGGGATAATTTTTCTAGGAGAGAAAGTGTGTTAAAGAAACCTCAGTATTTTTATCTTTATAATACAAATAATATCTAGAGACTTTTGAAGAAAAGTATGATTTTCAAGAGTCATTAAATTCCAGATAATTAACCTTGCTTCAATGAACTGAATGGATTTTGATAAGTGACGATAAACTTCTCAAGTAGAAAAGAAAATAGATTCCAATCATAAAACTTCTGCTTCTGCTAGAGCACTATTCCCTTGTGTCACATTTTTAGATAACACCTACATAAAAGAAAATGTGTTGGAGGTTTATTGTGTATCAGAAGATAATCTTTATATCTAAAATATAATAAGTGTATGACAAAAACAGAGTATTTATAGTTGTATTGGTTAAAGGCCTTTATCAAAAGTGTAAAGCAACCTGATAATACAGGGTGATTTCACATTTGTGTCAGATGTAACTTTAATCCATTCTCCCTGGGTCTCAGCCTCTAGGGCATAAGACACCAGACATGAATGAAAGAACTTTCTCAGGAGTCCAGTATTCTAGCATCCTCCTTAAGGTTAGTCCACATGAAAGGACCTCAAAGGTCATTTAGTTCCTAGAGAGTGTCTCTGATTTTAACAATCCACTGGGCTTTCCAAGCCAATTTACATCTCTAAAGATGCTGCATCATCAATCCTAGCTCCTTGGGGAATCTCTGACTGCTAGATAGGGTATCAGCAAGCAATGAGGATATTAAAAATAATTCCCCAAGAATTACAGAAATGTCAGTTTCTTGAACCTAACCCTATTCTTTTGCTTTCAAATTTGATAACTTTTAATGCATTAGACCTCCTCATGAGAAAAAAGGCCACAGCTAAAGAAACAAACCATTAGGTACAAATCAAATGCATCAGTTCAGGAATAATCCATTACTGTATTGTTCATAAAAGACATTACCTGCCTTAGGCTCAGTCTTTCTATGGGCTAAAGCTCTCAAGTCTGAAAGCTTCAGTAAATGTTAACCTTAGAAACATTCAAATGTACAATTTATGAATATGAGACTTTTTTCTTAGCTGGCAGCAAGTGTTAGCTTATGTTGGGATTTTAGGGTAACATTGACATTATTTGCATGCCTGGGATGATACATGGCAAAGCTGGTTCCTTTACGTTTGTGTCTTAAAAAAAAAAAAAATCCATGCAGGGGTGGCCTCGGTGACTCAGTTGGTTGGGCATCCAGCTCTTGGTTTCAGCCAAGGTTGGGATCTCAGGGTCATGAGATGGAGCCCCATGTCAGACTCTATGCTCAGCGTAGTCTGCTTGGGATTCTCTGCCTCTCCCTCTGCACCTCTCCCTGTTCACTCTCTTTCTTTCTATAAAATAAATAAACATGTAAAATCTTTTTTAAAAACTCCATTCATTCATTCATACTCTATGTACCAGGCAATATGAAGTCACCACAGATTCAGAAGTGAACAGGATATACTGCTTGCCCTCAATTTGCTAAAAGAGAAAAATAGTTAAAGATATAGACAATTAGGGGCAGCCCAGGTGGCTCGGTGATTTAGTACCACCGCCTTCAGCCCAGGGCGTGATCCTGGAGACCTGCGATGGAGTCCCATGTCAGGCTCCCTGCATGGAGCCTGCTTCTCCCTCTGCCTGTGTCTCTGCCTCTCTCTCCCTGTGTCTCTTATGGATAAATAAGTAAAATCTTTATTTAAAAAAAAAAGAAAAGAAAAGAAATCAACAGTTATAACCCAGAAAGGGCACTAGGTGCAGAAGTTGACCATCTTGCAATTGCCTCAGAGCCGGATTTTGGGAAAAGGAAAGAGTTATGAAATGACAAATGCAACCCAATTTAAAACCTCACTGGAATGATCGAGTTGAGAATTCAGACATCTGGATCCTGGTCGTGAACCTTCCCATAAACACTTTTGCCTCTCTTCAGAAGAATCTCAATTTCCAAAGCTGCAATACAAGAGAATCTGACTAGATTTTCTCAAAAGACCTGTCCACTTGTAACAATCTGTGACTCCAAGTCACAGATAAAAAAGAAAAAAACCTGTCACACAAACAGGGGTTACTGAAACCTGCATTTCAACTTCACCTGGGTTATAGATGCCCATCAATGCTCCTAAAGGGAGATGGTAGCACTTTATGATGTGAGGACAACATAAGGCATCCCTGTTCTTTTTTAAAAAGACACCCTAGAGCCTCCAGTTGTTGAGTCACACACACAGCTGATTGTGATGCATGCATGGTCATTTCTTTCACGTTTCTTTTTTTTTTTCTCTCTCTCTCTCTCTCTCTCTCCCTCTCTCTCCCCTAGTGAAATCTCTCAGAGTGATTCTCTGGAAAAGATAGAAGCTAATGCCTTTGACAACCTCCTCAATTTGTCTGAAATGTAAGCATCAGCTAACAGTTTATTGCTGTACACTATTACCCTCGCTGGCTGGAGCCCACTCAGTATTTGTATTCAAGCATCCACTGCTAGGAATCCAAGAGGAAAAGACTATAGCAATTACTAGGTCTGGGCAGGCACTAATTTCTCTCACTGCAGTGCCCTGAAGGTTGCCATGGTGACAACTGCTTCTTCCTGGGAGCTGTGTAAACTCTGAAACATCACAACACAAAGTTGGAAATTAAAATTGACATTGTGGAGTCCTGCCAAGTAGCTCTTATCTTATGGAAGGGAGGGTATGAGGTATCTGGAATAGTGAGAAAATTTGAAAAAGAGCTTAAAGATCATGAATTAGTTTATTGGGGACTGTTTGGGCATCTTCATTTATTTAGTAAATGATTCTTGGAAGCCTACCATGTAAAGCCCTGTGTTGGACATGTGTATGCTGTTTGTTATTGTTACTGTGATGTTTTAGAATTGATTCTTAAAAACAGTTTTTCCCAAATTATCATTTTCCTCAAATTTACAAAAAAAAAGATGGGTGAACACTGGCTCAATTCAGTTTTCAGATGATGAACCCATGACCCAAAGAGGTTAACTGACTTGTCTGATGTCACACAGCAAGTCAGTGCTGGAATTGGGGCTAGAAACTGAGTCGTGTGACTCTCAAACCAGCCTTCTTACTGCTGCCTCATTTGGCTCAACCCTGAGCTTCTAAAAATTTCACCTTTTGAAAGTTAAGGGAAGGGGAAGGAAGTTAGCAACAAACATTTTCTGTGCACTAGTGCTTGGCATTCCCCCCACTCCCACTCCAGGTTGTGTTTATCCTCACAGCTTCCCTGAAAAGTGTGTTAATTACTCCTTTTGTTCTGGGGAAGGAATGGAGGCTCAGAGAAGTCAGTAACTTGACCTGTGTGGCACTGTAGAGAATGGCAGGGCTGTGATTCCACCCTGGCCTTTCTTCAACGCTTGGGCATTCCCCACCACACCACAAGGCCTCCGTATGAATGGTCCAATTAGCAATTATCTAAAGAGAATAACTGATTGATAAGTATGTGAGAGGTACCTGCCACATGTCCAACCAAGGGTCCAGTGCTGCTGGAATACAGAGGAGATAAAATATAAATCTTCCCCAGGAGATGACAGTATAGTCAGGAAGATGAGACTACCTCATCAGCTGATTATGGGAAAATCCAAAATAATGGGTATTCAAATGCAGATAGTCTGGACTTGGCTGTGAAGTAGAATTTTGGGGGTGGGAGGGTGGGAAGGAAAGTGGAAGAGAGAGGAGTGGGGAGAAGAGGTCATCACTATTACAGATGACAGTGCTATCCCAGACCTAGAAATCTGCCCAAGTGATAATGAAACACAGCTTATACTGGGAACCACCAGAACAGCTTAAGATAAATAAATTGCTCGTGGTGCAACAGAAAGAAAAACAAAATGCTCTAAGGGAAAGTTTATGGACTTTTCCAAAGGAAGGCCCTGAGACTAGGATGTTAGCCCCATGAGGCTTTCTTTGTTAATAGCTGTATCCCCAATACTTACAAGTGTAGGTACTTACTACATGTTTGCTGAGTGAGGGAATGTATGGATGAGTAGTTTCAGGTGAGACCCCAAAAGCTCTTTAAGAGATAAAATTTCCTTCCATCCTACCTATATAATGCCTTATATGGTCCATGATTGCTTGACTAAGTTGTTATAAAAATAATTACAACAAATCACTCACCTCTAAAGAATCAAAAGGACATAAAAGATGGAAATAGGCACAAACATTAGGTAACCATAGTAAGGGGGAATGAACACCAGACTCAGGGTCAGACAAATGGAGTTTACTTCCAAGTTGTGCTACTTCTCAACTGTGTGACTAGAGATAAATCATTCAACATCCTGATTTCATCAACTATTATAATTGTTAACTTTGGTTTAAGCTTTACTGTGAACCAGAAACACAGATTGACTTCTCAAAAACTGCCCTATGAGGAAACTGAGCTTTAAGTGATGTATCCAAGGTCACACAATTAGTAAAACCAGGATGTAAAACCAAACTGACTCCAGAGCCCCTCTAACTAGCCAATACACTATATTTTCTCTGTAGAACAAGAGTAATTATCATTTCTTCAGGTGGTTGTGGCAGGGGGTAAGAAAGTCAAAGGCATTTACTGGCCTTTTATTGAATCCAAAGTAGACACACAACTGTGGCCATTTCTCAAAGTGTCAGAGTCACTGGAAAAATAAGGAGAAGGCCAATCACACCACTGTAGTGTTAGTTATAGCTATACTTTAATACTTTACAAAGCCCTGCCTCTGACATTATCTCTACCTATTCTATTACTCACTACATACCAACCTATGAGGTAAGAAGAGTGCATATTATTACTATAATTTTATAGAAGGGCACACTAGCCCATGGAAGTTAGGAGGCTGGGCATCATCACCTAACAAATTACCTATACAATGGGCATAAATCTCCCCCAAATCCAAGCCCCTGTACTAATCCAAAGAATGAGTGCCCATCTGGATAACTGATCAGTGGGCTGCCAGCCCAGTATGAAGAAGACCAGTTTGCCTATAAAGGAGAGTAGCCAATTTGCTCATCTGACTTGAGACTGGAATCTCCCATCACCCCCAGTGTGTAGGCTCCATGGTGGGGCAGGATCTTCTTAGCCAGGAATTCTGGAAGTTGGTGCTACCTCACTAAGTTGGGGTGGAACAGACTCCCAGCTATGTTTACACCTGCCTCAACAAGAGGTTGAGAACAGAGCTTCCTGGCAAGAGCCAGCTGGCTCTCACCTTGCAGTTTTAATCTCCAGGCTCTCAGAAGCTCCTCTCAAGCACATCAAAGTCACTTGATTTTTGTTGATGCCATTTTCAGCCAGCATCCTCCGGTGACCATGGTCTGGTGCATTCCAAACAATATACATTTCTTAAACTGCTCCTTCTCTCTTTACAGACTCATCCAGAACACCAAAAACCTGGTGTACATCGAGCCTGGAGCATTTAGAAATCTCCCCCGGTTAAAATACCTGTAAGGATTTCTCCTTTTTGAGTAACTGAGGAGGGACATTGAGTATCTGATGAACATCAAAATAATTAAAAGATTGGGAAGAATTTTTTAACTATATACTTAGCATTATTTGCACGTCTGTCTTCAGCCTTCTGATTAAAATTTAATCAGCATTTCTTGTCAGCCACCAGGCTGGGTGCTTTCAGAATCCATGTAAGTGGCTCCCAACATTTTCACTCTCCAAAAAACACAAGAGAAGAGTATCATCTCCTTTGCAATGATTTTCAAAACTGATCGTGGGAATGGGGAGGAGAGGCCATGACACTTTAAAAAGGGTAAATTGGAATCTCTTCGGTGAGGTGGTGATGCAGACAGACCACAAATGAAAGGAGGACAGGCATTCTGATTTGACGTCCATCTCTGGTTAAGAATTACTGATTCCTTCATCTCATTTGTTCATTTCTGAAGTGAGAACTTTTAAGTACTGCCTTGAGGTAGGCACTGTTATAAACTAAATCATTATTTTCTATTTCCCATTAAATCTTATTAAGTCTAGTTAGAATTATACATTGAGTACCACTCTAACCCAGCAGATTCATTGCCTTGCCAGCAAAACCAAAATTCCTGAAACCTGATACAGCCTCTAAACTGATCTCTATGGATCTTCTCACACGTCAAGCAGTCACATATTCACACAGAAAAATTTAAATCCTTCTAACACAGATGTCCTCTCTTCTTCCTGACAAGTTAAATTTCATAAAATCTCCAAGGGGTGGAAACCCACAACCTCTACCTACCACCTAAAAAAAAAAAAAAAAAAAAAAAAATGGAAAAGAGGGGAGGACATCTCTCTGGGTCTGGACATCTCTCTTGTCACCTGTATAGCTTTGCCCTGGGGCCTCCTAGAGGAGCTGCTGCTGGCACAAGCGTAATTCTTTTGCCAGCTCTAACACTGGACAGTTCCCAGACCAGGTGTTCCACTTTAACAGGCCTCTGAGGTTGTGCAGGACACATAGGCGTCTGCAAAATCAATCACTTTAGAAAAACAGAAGGAAAAAAAAAAGAAAAATACAAGAAAATCTCAGAACCAAATTTGACCTCTATATTCCTTGTTATCTAAGAATCATGGTCTTTATTAAAAAGCATTTCACCCCCAAAAAAAGTGATATTCCTCCAACTCCAGTACACATTGCTAAGTTACAATGCCATCATCAGTCACAGAGAGGGCAAGGATTCAGTGCGATCTGGGGTTACAGGAAAGAAGGAGCATCAGAAAGAGCCAAAGGAGAACCTGGCTTCCTTCCATTGTCACCAGAGTGCAAGGAAGTTCCTATCAGTTTCTGCAGTCCCTCACAGGTGAATTTAAAACTTGGTTAGGGACAATCCAGATGTCTGGACTCCTCTAAAGGAGTCCCATTCTTGTGTAATAAGATATCCTTCAATTTAACCTATCACTACTTCTCTCTTCTTTGAAGTTTAAATAAAAGGTGAGAGGAAGAAGAGCCTTGACTAGCTCCAATGACCAAAAGAATGTTCAGTGATTCCAGTAAGTTATAAAGAAGAACTTCCTGAACCACAAGGTAGTGAAAGAGAGAACTATTTTTTTAATAAGGGATATGTATTTCTCATAAGAGATTAATATTCCTAAAGTGTTTGAGTTAGAGACTATTCCAAAGTAGAGGGATGTTTTCTAGAACTATCAAGAGCAAATTGCCATAAAAGAATAAGATAGAATACAACAGAAAAAATGCAATTGATACAATAGGAAAAAGGCTGGAAACATAAATATAAATGAAAAAGACCTGGAAGTTCAGTCCCGGCTCCCAGATCTTTAAACAGGAGTCTTTAGAGCAACTTTTTCCATTGTGTTAGGGGCTTTAAAATTCTGACAATCTTCAACGGTCAAAAGTGCTACCAAGAAAGCCAAACTCAATATTTTTAATGTGAAAATAGTCCTTGCAAAGTGCCTTTCTGCTGCTTTTATCTTTATGCCTTAATAACAATCACTTTTACTCACTCTCTGCCTACATCCCCACCCTGCCCCAAATCACAGGAGCATCTGTAACACAGGCATCCGAAAGCTTCCAGATGTTACGAAGATCTTCTCCTCTGAATTTAATTTCATTCTGTAAGTACCAGGCTGATTGCTATGCGTAACAGTTTCCTATTTGCAGCTAAAATTTGGAAAGTAAATATTTCCCATTTTATTCCTCCAGGGAAATTTGTGATAACTTACACATAACCACCATACCAGGAAATGCTTTTCAAGGGATGAATAACGAATCCATAACACTGTGAGTAAACTCCCAGATTCACATACAGGCTCCTGCTATTCTCGCTTCTAGCTTGAGGTGAGCTCTTTCTCATCTTTGGCCACGTTCCTCATTCACCAGTAACATTCTTTATGACCTAAAATGCTAAGGATGAGAGCAGTTGTGTGGATTGCAGCTGGGCCATGTGTTCACACAACCAACCAAACCACTCAGTTTAAAATTAATCAGACGGGCACTGAGGATTGACAGTGACCAAATTTCCAACTGATGAAATTGTTCACCGCATCAATGGAATGCTTTGAAGCTGGGAAGACAGAGCCTGGAGGGAAATGGCTGCCCTGGTTCAAAGAGCACAGAAATTTCAAGTTTTAAATGAGAAGTTTGGAAAAATATTCTCCAAGTAGGTAGGATAGTTGATCGATAGACCCTGCATTCACTAGTTTACTCTCTCTCTCTCTCTGATTTTTTACTTTGCTTTCATTCCTTCTATCACTTAAAACTTGAAAATAGTGTCTTTTTATTTGACAATCACTCATCAGGTTATGAGGCTCATAGCTCCTACCCCTTTTATGTTCTTTCCTAAGGCGTGCTATTCAAAGTATGGTCCACGGACCAGCATCTACTGCATCTTCTAAGAGCTGGTTAGACATGCAGACTCTTGTGACTCAGAACTACTGACTTGGAATCTGCAAGTACCCGAGTGATTCACATGCACATAAAGTTCGCAGATAACCCACTATTCTCTTCACTGTTCATCTGCCTGACTTCTTTCTTTCTGGGGTCCCAGTCATCTGCACATGGGGTACCTGCCTTTGCCCCACCATTCAGACAGAGCATTCTGGGCACCATGTCTCACTTGTATCAAAAGTCCAGTACCCATACTCAATTCTTTTCCCCACATCCATATCCCTCTTTGTCTTTCTGCTTTGGTTACAACCCTTGACAGGGTTGTAATGAGTCAATAAATGAGCTTGCCCTTAAAGACAGAGCATGCACTGGATGACCCCAAAATGAGGAGGTAGTTGTGAAGCAAGAGAAGAGATCATCTCAGAGGTTTCACTTTTATATTATGGATTCTAAATATTGGTATCAATATACATTGCAATTGCATAGTACTTTTTACTTTGTGTAGTTGTAACTCCACAATATAATTACGTTACAAGAGTATTGCAATCAAAAGAATACAGAGCAGCAACCAAAAAAAAAACAAAAAACAAAATTTATTTCAAGATAAATTTTTTACCTGCAGCTCTTTTTTCTTTTTTTCTTTTTTTTTTTTTAAGATTTTACTTATTTATTCATGAGAGACACAGAAAGAGAGGCAGAGACATAGGCAGAGGGAGAAGCAGGCTCCCTGTGGGGAGACCGTTGCAGGACTCAATCCTAGGACCCAGGATCGCAACCTGAGCCAAAGGCAGGCGCTCAACCACTGAGCCACCCAGGTGCCCCTACTTGCAGCTCTTAAATACCAGGAAGGAGACAGGATAGCCTAGAAAATCTTCTCTACAGTCTTTCTGCTCTTCTACTTCCCTCACACACTATAGCCCTTCCAGCTCTTTAAAAAGTATTCCTAACTCACTGCTGCATGTATCCAGAACTACTCATCTATCACATCTCCTGTCAGAACAGAGCAAAGATTGCATGGGGTGTGACTGCATACCTTGGGATGGGGGGGGTCTTCCTATGTCTCTACTGAGAACACAAAAGACATACAATCCATGTCCCCAAGGAACTCAGAATCTCACTTACAGGGAAAATGGAGAAATTACGGGGCCAAACATGAAATAATGAAAGAATAATACAAACCAGTAGATATTCGCTGTGAGAGTTTGTGTTATGCAGAAATTAGAAGTCTCGAAGAAGTCCTCTTGGGCTAGAGAAGTGAGAAGAGGCTGCACAGTGGAGCTGAGACTTCAGTTAGACTTTGTAGTATCAGCAACATTTGTATGGATAAATGTGATAATAGCAGCTAATATTTATACAGCACTTAAGTAAATGCTGCACTGTTTTTAAGTACTTTTTTAAAAACTCATTTACATCTCACAGCAACCCTATGAGGTAGGAACTAACAACCCCATTTTTAAATGAGGAAACCAAGGCACTACAAGGCTAATTTTCCCAGGGTCATGATTTAGAACCCATGTGGCTCCAGAATCACAGTCTTAACCATTATGTGGTACTACATACCAAAAAAGGGGGAGCGAATAGTCTAAGCGAAGGAACATCGTGAGCAAAGGCATGGCTATGAGAACAAGGACAAGAGGATATGTCTTACTTATTGGGTAGTACATACCCAGCTGAAGAAACAGGAAATAGGTTTAGATAAATGGCAGGGGTGGAAGGGAAACTGGATTGCTGAGTCTTGAATGCTAGGATAAAGAATTAAAACCTAAAAAAAAAAAAAAAAAAAGAATTAAAACCTTAGAAGTAACTCTGACAAAAGTAATAAGAAGAAACCACCCAATAGAGTAGCCTTTATTGAAAGATCACAAATATCCTAGACTTCCTTTGATTTTGACCTAAATCTAAAAATAACCAGGACCCAAATGGTACTCCTCCCAGGTAACTGTACAGCCATAGAAATGAAGTGGAAATGGAATGAAGGAAAGGACAGAAGATGCCGAGAACAATCACAAGAATACAAATGTTGGGATGATCCACAGGGTTCTGTGAGATCCCAAGACTGGACCACCCCATCAAACTCAAGGAACAACCAAAGGTTCCTTTCACATGCTACATTTCAGCATGTGCACATGAGAGCTGCACAGTATTTTTATTGTGGAGTCATTAACTTATATTAGTTATGATTTTAAAAAGAACAGTGCCTACCAACAGGGCAAAATTGCCCCACCTCTGAAGTTAATGAGGATTGCAGATCTATCTCTCCTAGCAAGCCCAGGGGGCATTGTGCTTCCACCACCCCCCCCCCCTTCTCACTCTCAGCCCTTCATCTGGAAGCAGAGTGATTAGTCATTTGCTTGGCACTTGTTCTCAACTGAATGGGCCCTTCTGTCAGTGAAGGATCCTGTGGAGCACCCTGCTGGAAAAAGGGTATTACACTTAAAGAGGAAAGCCCTATTTTCTCGGCTATAAAGTTCAACTCCCTAATTAGAAAATAATGAAAGTAGGCCATCTCTCTTCATTATTAGTATTTGAGATTTTGCTTTTTGTGGAAACTTTCCTGCCCTCCCCCCCACCCCCAATTTTTACCAACCGTGAGCTCATTTAATGAAAACAAAACACTTCACTTGATGCTGGAGAAGCTCAGTGGGGCTAATGCTAAAACTATGCATTATACTCTTATGTCCCTTTATAGCCACTTTGGCTTTTCATTAAATCTCCTCAAGAGGCCACCTTGAAATGTACCCCCTGAGCGAGCAGGATTTGGCTGCACCACCTTTAAAATATTCTAGATGACTGGTCATACAAGTCTCAAAAAAGAGGCAACTTTGATTCATGTCTGAACTCTACAAAGAGAAGGAAAGGTCATGGCAACTAATTCTCAAAGAAAGAATGCCTGGCAAAAAGGATGGCAGGATTCCAGGCTGCACCTCTGATAAGCCACACTAAAGAGACTGCTGAGGGTTGAAACAGAAAGCCTGGGTTCTAGTCCTGGCTCTGTGTTTAATGAATCTTAGTCAAGTTACACCACCCAGGCATGGCCTTGTCTCTGTGTATCCAAAGGGATTATTAATACCTCCTCATGCAAATTCAATTACATCATGTCAACTACATAACACCGCCATAATTAAAAGCTAATTAATATTCAGAAAGCCAGATGTTTTAGACAATCCTGAAAACATCATGTCTCATTGTCTCTTTTTAAATATTTTTTATTTTAAAATTTTCAGTGGATAAGTGGAGTCAATTTCCATTTGTCTTTCCAACATCACCCCTATACATCTTACCTAGATTTATCAACTATTAGGAGCTTGCTACACCCACCCCATCTCTATGTATGTAATTACATACAGTGCATTTCCTTTGGGCCAAACCATACAAAAGAAGTTTATAGATATTATGACACTTCATACCTTAAATACTTCAGCATGTATCTCCCCTAAACAGGGATATTCTACGTAACTACACCATTACACCTGAACAAATAATAAACAAACAAACAAAACCATGAATTTAATGACATTGTCCAACCTACAGTCCACATTCCAATGAAAATGTCTTTTATAGATTTTTTTAAAACTCAGAATCCAATCAAAATTTTATACATTGCATTTTCACTATTATGTCCCTTGGTCCTCTCAACCTCACCTCCTATCCACCCACTAAGATGTGCTCCCTCACTTTCCTTTGTTCTAAATGACACGAATTCCTTGAAGGAGCCCAGGCCAGTTGTCTGGATTCATCTGACTGTATTGTCAGGATTAGATTCAGGTCAACATTTCTCCAAAAACATTGCAAAAGACATGCTGTATCTCTCCCAGTGCATCAAACCAGAAGGTACATCATCCCACATTCCTTGGCCATTTGGTTAAATGTGACTGCCAGACATCTTCATTGTAAGGGCACATTTTTCCCTTTGTCATTAATAATAAACCATAGTGGGAACTTTGAGTGGGTGCAACTAGCCCATTGGCCAACATTGCTTCATCTAATGGCTTCAGCATCAAGTGATTATTCGGTTATTATGCAGTGAGTTACAGAATGGAAATTTTAAATTTGATCATTCTTCTACATTTGTTATCAGTACACTTCTATAAAAAAAGAAGAATAATCCTCTCCTCTCAATCTCTTTTTAAAATATCACTGTGGAAGTAGATTTTTCAAAACTTTTATTCAATATATTATAATCCATTGCTGTCATCATTCTTTTGGATGCTTGTTATCTTTTTGTTATTACATATGTTAAAGTCCTATAAGATGATATGAACCTGGTTGAGGGAAATGAAGGGAAACAAAACAACTCAGTGCTGCTGAAAGGCAGGAGGTATGCCCACATCAGAGAGAGGGTTCCTTTGCCATTGAGACTGTGAGCCCCACAGAAATGGGGGTATTCTGATGATCATTCAGAACTAGGGTCATGGCAGTGTACAGTGATCGGCTTGGTGACAGTGACTGGTGACAAGTTATCCATACAACCACTGCCACGGTATCCACTAAAGAAGCGTCTTCATACACTCTACACAGAGGAATTATTCAGGTATAAAAGAAGTCCAGCAAAACACCACAGGGAGGATAAAGTGATGAATTTAGGATCCTTGTTCTTTAGTAGGTATCTATATAGTCAAAAATTTGCTTATAGATATATCACCATGGGCATATTTTCTAAAATGGAAACCCTGAGGCCACTTTTTGAGACCCTGCATATCTGCAAACACAAATTAAGCTTTCTGCTTTAAAATCATCCAAAAGCTAGGTGGTCACATGATCCAAAAGTAAACTACAGTAGACCATCTAATACTGTTAATATAACCCCAGAAATGCTTTTAGAGCCCCAGGAATATTTGGAGTTTGTTTCAGGGCAGCATTCAGAATTAGAGTATCATCTGTGATTAAGTTCTAAAGCCTGAACCTTATTTTGAATAAAAAGGTGACATTCTCTCTTTTTGAATCACAATTGCTGACATTTGAATAGAGAACATAGACAATGCTTTAAAGTAAGGTGCAGCTATTGTAATACAGGAGGGGTGGGGGAATCACTTCTGTGCTTGTGACAGCATCCTCAAGGCAAAGGGAGCCGTTCTCATTTAATTCTGACACCATGATGTTTGGGGAAAAAAGTTATCTGAAGTGACTCTCCAGATGTTCTAAGGGGCATTTTAAAGCATTCTGCAGGCCTGACAGCAGGAGGCCTCCCACTCATATTTATAACTTCTCCAAAGTAAGGAAGCCACTGTTGTAATCAAAACAAAGCAACACCTTCTCTTGTGCACAACTGGTAAGAACAAAGCCGAGGAGCAGCAGCTGAAAAGAAAACAGCCCCATTCTTTGGAAAGTCGGGACAATAAGGACCCAGGCTATTAAAAAACAAAAAACAAAAACACGACATGAAAAATGTCCTAATACAAAAATGTCAATGATACCAATATAGACCAAAGATGTTTGAGGGCCTCTGGAGAGTGAGTCCATGTGAGGCAGTCTGGGCCACTAAACTGACCTGCTCCATGGAGAATAGGAAGGCCCCTGCCCCACTGGATGACAGTTCAATTAAACCAACTACTGCATTTCATGGAAGTCCTCTCCAGAGCATGGCAAGGAAGACCCTTTCCCTCTATTTTGGTCAGACAGATGGAACAACCACAATATAATGATGATGATGATGATGATGATAATAATAATAATAATAATAATAATAACAACAACAACACATTAAGCCTTTACTGTGTTCCAGGACTTATTTCTAAGTGCTTAATACATGTTTAGCCTTTTAATCCACCCAACAGCCTTTTGAAGTCAATACTGTGATTATCATCCCTATTTTCAGATTAGGAAATTAAGACACAAAGAGGTTAAATAACGGCTTAAAGGAACTCAGCTAATGAGTAGCAAGCTGGGATTCAAGCCCAGGCAGTTGAGTTGAAGATTTACAAATTTAACCAGAAAGCTGCACTTAGAGCAATGTCATTGTAAACCCCACGAAAAAAACAATTACAAAATCCTAATATGTATCAAAACTAGGATCAGGACAGCACATAACAATATGGGGAAGGGGCATCCAGACAATTGCTGGCAGCTTTGCTTTGCTCAAAATAAAATAGGAGCTACTTTTTCTTAATTCACTCTACATGTAGCTCCATCACTTAGAAGGTAGAGAGAGCAATAAGGGGACCAGACTCTGGACTCAGTTCTCTAGCATATGAAAATGCTGAGAGTTTTATCATCATCCTATGCTGTACCCCAGAGCAAGGAGCCCCAAAGTGACATGCTCAAGGCTCACTGGGAGAGCTTGTTATAAAAGTACATATTCCTGAATATCATTACAAGATTTTGATTCCAGATCTCTGCAGTGCACCTGGTCAGTAGGTCTGAGTCGGCATTTTTGGCAAGCAGCTCCAGTTGATTCTGAGTCAGTAGATGAATGGGAATGCTTTGACAAACACTGGCAGAGATGCTAAGAAATTCTATTTCAAAGTTCAGAGAAAAGTCCAACATAATTCCTTCATCTGCAAGAAGTTGCTATAAAGGAATTCAAACCCCCAAATGATAAGGGACTGCCAGAGAATAATATTCTGAGTATAAATTTTTAAAAAGAATTCTTTTTTTTGAGCTGCTAAGGAGGCAAGGTTGTATGTAATTACACAAAACAGTGGAGATAAACCAAGTACCTATCCCCTCAAATTCTAGAAAACTGAAAAATAGCACCAATAATCCATTACAGAACACAGTTAAGAGCTCATAAATGAAGTTGTAAATTCAAAAATCCAGAAGAAAGCACAGAAGAGCAAGAAAAGAAGCCAGAGAAGCCTGTTCCTCAGGTGGAAGGGCAAAGCTACTGCCCCACGCAGCCTGTTGACTGAGCTCCTGCTATGTAGCAAGCATGACAAGAGACCCGGGGGTTTTACAAAACGAGTTTGCTCTGAATTCAAATTAATAAGGAGGCTTTATGAATTATTTTGTAATCTCTGTATTTTCTGAATTCCAGTGCAAATGTCATGCTTCAAGAGTCCTACTTAGATTTATTTATATGCTGGTTTATCTCAAGTGTACTATGTATTGGTAGAAAGAGACCCTCCCCACACACATACACACTACACATATCCATATACACCACAAGATGAAATTCCATGCTTGTTTTATTTAACAAAGGCCAGAGAAACCTTGCAGACAACAGCCACCTGGAACACGGACGGACAGCTGGGGACTGTGTCTAAACTGTTTCATTTTTTTTTTTAAGATTTTATTTATTTATTCATTAGAGACACAGAGAAAGAGATGTAGAGACATAGGCAGAGGGAGAAGCAGGCCCCTCGCAGGGAGCCTGATGTGGGATCCGATCCCAGGACCTGGGGATCACTACCTAAGCCAAAAGCAGACACTCAACCGCTGAGTCACCCAGGCATCCCTAAACTGTTTCTTAAGTCAAACCCACTAGGCCATCCCTGACATGACCATGCAACTACCAGCAACTCTAGAAAGGGAAGCTAGGGTCTTGCCAGATACTGGAGCTTAATTTTATGCTATTCCACAGCATAGCCCTCTCTCACTGGAACATTACATCATTGTTCATGAAGAACTCGCAGAAATATTTCTAAGAATGTGACTTTCAAACTTACTTGGTTGGCTATGATTTACAGTAAGAAATTCATCTTACATATACCCATCTGTTCATCCAATGCATTTAACATATATTTATTGTAATTGTCCCAAGTACCCGGCACTATTTTAGATGCAGGAGATCCTGCAAGAAACAGAACAGTTTGAAATCCTTGCTCTCATGAAGCTTACATTCTGCTGGGGAAGACAGATGATAAACGAGTATGGTATAATCACAAGTCAGATGCTGATAAAGTCACAGAGGAAAAGCAAATCCATGAGGGGGGATAGGAATGTGGGAATGCAGGGGGAAGGGAGGGTGTAGTTTAAGTGGGCAGCCAGGGAAGGCCACAAAAAGAACATGACAGGGACACCTGGGTGGCTCAGTGCTTGGGCATCTGCCTTTGGCTTAGGTCATGATTCCAGGATCCGGGATCAAGTCCCGCATTGGGCTCCCTGCGAGGGGCCTGCTTCACCCTCTGCCTCTGTGTCTGCCTCTCTCTCTCAGCCTGTCTTTCATGAATAAATAAATAAATCTTAAAAAAAAAAAAAAAAACATGACATCAAGCACAGCCCTCCAGGAGGAGGAAGAGGGGCCAAGTGGGTATCTCAGGAATAAAAGTGAAAACACCCAGTGAAACTGATAGGCTGGAAGTAGCTAGCCCCAGACAAAGTGCATTCTAGTCCCGTTTCTGCCTGTGGTGGGCTTTAGACAAGTCACTTTCCTGTCTGAGCCTCCTCCGTTCTTTGCAAATGAAGGTGTACCCATTTGATCCTCTCTAAGCTTGTTCCTGGATCCAACATTACCCAACATCTGTCTTGAGAAACCTCTTTCATCTTATTCTAGGCAGACATGTACAGATCTATATACATGTATATATATATATATATATATATATATATATATCATAGAAAAATGGTGGAACAAAATTCCATAAATAGTACTACCCTAATTACATGCAACACACACCAATATTTTCCATTTTGTCCTATTCTGTTCTATTTCATTTTGCTAAATGCTGACTGCACCCAACTAAATTGATTTCACTATCCACAACTGGTTAAAGAACCTTTAACAGGAATTGAAATCTTCTTGGTTATGGAGCCAAATATGACATCAGCAAAAACACATACCCATGCAAGAAAAAGAAAAGCTAACTCAGTACTGGAGTCTCCCTCTGCTCTCTACATTCAGTCGGCTGGAAAGCCCACACACCCGCACAGGCCTGTAGAAACAGAGGCAAGACTTGAATGCTAGGCAGATAGCTCTGGCCACTAATCCTACTTCTACCCCTACTTTCTTTAACTTTGAGCCAACTACACAACAACATTGAAACTTAGATTTCTCATTGGTATCATGGAAATGACAGTGAGGATTAAGTCATAAAATGTATGTAGAATGACTGATCAAGTATCTGGCACCTAATAATACTTAATAAACAAACAAATTGGTGGTGCTGCTGCTGATGGAGGTTAAGCCAAACTAGAGCAGGAAGAAAAAAAATTAAAAAAACAAAACAAAACAAAACAAAAAAAAAACACCAGTTCCATCTCACCAGCTCCTTAGAATCCAAAATGTTGGAGAAACAGAGCTAGATATTGTGAATGCCGGTAATTATCTTAGTAATGAGTGTCACAGAAGGAAGAGTGTGTGGTTTCAAAATGTGCTTCTTTCACTGCTAAATTCTCTCTCCTCTCACTTCAGCAAACTATATAGAAATGGGTTTGAAGAAATACAAAGTCATGCCTTCAACGGGACGACGCTGATTTCCCTGTAAGTATGTGCTTATTTCCCCAGCTCATGAATAAAAATGAAATATTACTCCAAGCTACCAGATCACATTCAATCTTCAGGAACTAACTCAGGACAAAAATAAACTTTCAAGTGGCTAGTCCTCAGTGTTTCACTCATGTTACTAGGCAACTGGCTGGCTAGAAACCCCAAAGCACCCTGATTTCAAAGATAGATGCAGCCTGGAGACATTAAAGTTGACAGTTTGCTAAAATATTCAACACCCTACTTTAGTCTCATCTCTCAGCCTCCCTCTCCAGCCCCCTCACTCAGGTTGATGGTGCCTTAGAAGCAGCCTGATTTCAGGGAAGAAATTCTTCCCCCAGCCTCACTTACAGAGAAATCAGGTGACTCTAGTTACCAGGCTAATCAGCCACAACAGGCCCACTTGCAGCCCCATGCCCCTACTGCCAGGGAGGTGGTGGAGCACATTTTTCACAGGGTGAGGGGGCCTTGTGCTTTCATCATATCCCACCCTAGGCCCCAGCATTAACAGCCTTTAACTCAAGGAGTACATCCCTATCAACTGCTTCCTTCATTGTTCCACACCTCTGTTTCCTTCTGTGGCTCCTTTTCAAAAAGAGTGGCTCATTCACAAAACCTGCTGGGCTGGGGCCATTTGAACCATAACAGAGTGAGATGACATTCACCCAGCAGTCAGGTATAATAAAAACTAAGAGCATGTGAAAAGTTCAACTGAAGCCAAAACTAAGGGAAAAAAATGAAAAGGCTTTTATAATAGGTTGTATAAACCACAGTCTATACCAGTGCTTCTCAGACTTTAACACACATGGAATAACGTGGAAACTGTTAAAACACAGATTCCCAGGCCCCACCCCCAGAGACTTTGCTTCAGTGGGTCTAGGGTAGGGCTTGAGAATTTGTAATTATGACAAGCTCCCAGGACATGCTGATGATGCCAATCTCAAGCTGAGTAGCATAAGTCTATACGATATAATATTTATTTTAATTATACATATTAACCAAAGACTCTATTATATTGATGCCATGCTACAGAGCTTGGTGGCTAAGAACAGATCTGAGTCACTGACTGGGCTTCAAATTCCAATGCCAACATTCATCATTTTGACCTTAAGCAAGTTACTTAATCTATCCCAGACACAGCATTCTCATATGTAAAATAGAGCCACTAATAGGCTTGTTTTGAGGATATCCCACCAAAATGAAAGGTCTGTTTTCTATCCTCAGTACTTAACACAGTGCCTAGCACAGAATATGTGCTCATTTATTATTTATTACTTTGCACAGTTAATGAACTACAAATGAACAAATGAATGATAAATAAGATTGTATTTTTGTGATCTTAGACTGAGTCTGACACATACCAAGTGCTCGAGAAATGGTAGCTTCCTATCATGGAGTAGATTTTCCTTCATTTTCTTGCTGACTTGAATTCAACGAAGAGTTTTCTGTAGCCAATTGAATCTGTTTGTGCCAAATTTAAATCCTATCCTCTCCTGGCACAGTACTTTCAGATGCCTCATTCACTCAACAAGTGTTTGCCAAGCATCAGCTGTGTTTGAAGGAAAATGCTATATTTGGGGTAGAAATGGAGATGAATAAGCCCTGGCATTTGCCCCACCAGAGCTTACGGCCGAGGAAGAAGCATTGCCAAATAGTATATAAACCATACACTAAGTAGTAACTAAAACAGAAGGCAAAATATGCTGCTTCCCCTGAGAGAAGTAAAGTCCTCCAAGAGGCAGAAGAGAAGAAAATTCCAGAAAGCCTCACGAGAGATGTAGACTTTGAGCTGGACAGGCAAAGAGAGAAGGAAAATGCATTCCAAGCAGAGGACAACAAAGAGAATGGCCTAGAGGAGGAAGCATGTGACAACAGAATAGCAAACAATACCTTTTAGAAAGTTCTAGGGACAAAGCAGGAAGGGCTTCAGATGCCACAGTAAAGAATCTGGACTCTCTTCTGTAGAAAATGAGAAGCTGTTGAAAGTTCTGGGATGTGAAGTGAGAGGGGTAATGAAGGTTCATCTGTTAGCAGGGAGGACAGGGGTTGGGGTGTGAGGTGCAGGACCAGAGACAGACAACAGCTATCGGAATAGAGGGGACAACTGAAGACCTTTGTGCCTCACGTCACCTGGATGATAAAGGAAATAAGAAAACTGAATATAAAATGGGGGGACAACAAGAAAGGAGGAAGAAAAGCCAGAGCAAAAGCAAATGGAGAGGGAGGGACACCAGCAGGGTGCATCTTTGGGAGGTCAGGGACAACAGGACTTCAGGAGGGAGGGCCTTGGTCAGCAGTGTTCCAGTTGCCTTGGTGATGCCCAAATGGGTATGAACTTCCTAAAGTCCAAATAGTCAAGATTCTGTATCTTCCACATCTCACTGTTGCAAGAAAGAGGAAACCAAGAACACAAATCAGTTTGCCAAGAACACAAATCAATTTCATTCACTTATTCATTCAGTAGACATTTATTAAGTATCACCAATATATTAGGCACCGTGTTAGGAGCTGGGTCTGCAACAGCAGAGTGGAAAGAATCCCTGCCCTCGTGAAGCTTCTGTTCTAACAGAAGACACAGACAAAAGGACAAAGAAGTGAAGTGATTGCAGATAGGGATATACACTGTGAAGGAAATAACCCATTGCTGAGATTTGCGACAGTACAAAGGATTAGGTTAGGGGCCCAGGGATAGCCTCCCATATGGACATGAAATTTAGGCTGAGCCTAGAAGATGACAAAGAGCCCACTGTGGCAATAAGGAGGGGAAGTGCATCACAGAAAGAGGAAGCAAGAAAGGCAAAGGTCCTGAAGTGGCAAAGAAAAGAAGTTGTAAGCTCCTGGAACTGAGAAGAGGCCAGTGTGGCTGGAGAGTCAACAAGGGGAAATAAGTATGAGACAAACCTGGAGATGGAGCAGGAACAAATCATGCAGAACTCAGAGGCAAAATGGATAAGACTCTTTCTAAGAACAAGGAGGCCCACTGCAAGACTGAAGGCAGAGAAGTGGAAGTAGGTTTCAAAACCATCAAGCAAAATTTTCAAACTATCCATTCAACCCATTTCTGGCAACTTCCTCATAAATAGGCCTGTCCAAAGTTGTTCAGAATGATGACACCAAAGCCCTAGAAAGTTCTCAAACTTCCTATTTACCAAGGCAAGATAGGATGGAGAGAAGCAGAACAGAAGGTTGTTGCCTTCAGACACCTCCAGGGTTCTGAGGGGCAATCCCTACCATTCCCAGAGCACTCCACTTAAAAATTTTGGGTGGAGTTTGAGAGATCTCCCACTGTGCTTCAAGAGGTTATCCTGCCTGTGCTTCTCATACCTGGAGGGCTGTGTCACTTGGGAACATGAGAAAGACCCCAGAAAAATGTGGTAGACAAATTTATTTTTAACTGAGTTACATAATGCAGAGTTATCAGTACACAGAAAGATCAGAGTTTTAATAAAACACGTGAAATGCTGTCATGAAATTTGAACAATTAATTTGACCTGGCTGACATGAGGATTATTTGCTCACAGAGCCCCATTTCAATGATTTATGACCATAGCAGGACATAATTAAAACAAACCAAATCAGGAAGAAGAGCCATGGAGGTTTGGAAAGGAAATTTTCTTTTGATTTAGATTTTAAACAGCAATTGACTCTGACAACCTCATCTCTTTGAAAGTGGAAATACAGCCAGGGGATGGAAATGTGTGAGACTGACGGGTGCATTCTGATGGAAGGGCTGAGGATTTCCAAGGAAAACGTTTAGTAGAAGCTTGTGGAAAACAGCCACCCAGGGAGCAAGATCCAGGGGCTTTTGCAGTTTTTAAATGGCAGGCGTGATGTGGAGACATGCAGAAAGACAATGAAAAGGATGTACAGCTATCAAATGAGCTAAGATGCCTAAGGATCCTGCAGGGGAGGGGAGGGAGAGTGGGTATTGGTCTATTTGTTTTGCCGTGTAACACTATAACAGTGATGCAGAAGAATCATGCTCCCGTGCTTGAAATCATCACACCAACAATGGATGCATGTTCCAGAATGTTCTTTGAGTCACCGTTCTTCTTTTGTAGAAAGTACTTAAAAGAAGACTGGCAAAGCTGAGCCTAGGGACCTCACTCCCAGCTCCCTCATCCACCCAGAGAGGGAGACACCAGCTTCAGGGCCCAGACAGGAGCAGAGCCAGGCTGAGCTATTCCTGAATAGTTCACTCTGTTTGGAACTCAAGGGAACAGAAGGCCCAGGTAGCTAATGTGTAGCAGTATTTGGTTGTGCGATAGCCTTAACAGCAGTGGCCCTCAACCCTTTTGTTTCCACAACACACATACCTGGCAACAATCCTACACTCAGCACAGAACCCCGGGTGGGGCCTGCAGGGTGTGTGGCAATTTTCTACACTGGCTGTTCTTCCTCCCCTTTCGTACCCACTGAGAATGCACACCTGAAAGAAAAGAGTACAATTAACATAATGAAAGGGATAACTTTAAACAGACTCTACTTTTTCAAGTAAGGTCTTTGCAAACTTCAGTATATTAGCCAACTCTGAGACCTCCAAGGTCAAAGCAGCTGAGTGCCAGATACAGAGGAGGCTGCACCTCCACCCTTCAGCCTTGAACACTGGAACAGCATTTTCATCCTTGCCCAGATGTGTGGCGGCAAGTTTTCTTCACTCCAGGACAGGACGGGGTGAGCACTTTAAGCTGTTGGACAAAGCATCCTACCAAGTGAGGGGGGACATTGTGGGGGGCGGGGTGCCAAACACGCACTCCAGCAGTTGTACCATTTGCCCAGCACTGGCATGTCCTTCTCTGCTTTTGCTCTAGTTCCCTTTCCCTCTAACACTGAGCACCAAGCAGGCAGGCTGCTCCACACATGTATATGTGCAGCGGTGACTGGCAGTACATAAAGGGCAAACTCCACTAAGGACCCTGTCCTTCCCCACAGGGAGCTCAAGGAAAATGCACACCTAGAGAAGATGCACAATGGAGCCTTCTGGGGGGCCACAGGACCCAGCATCTTGTGAGTACAGAGGTGCTACCTTCCTTCCCCACCCAGGCCTTCTTAGGGTGTCCAGCCACACTGTCTGCAGGCTGGTCCATGGAGAATCATGTGAAAGGACTGTGAAAGGACTGCCATTAACCAACAGCACAAACTTGGAGGGCTTACATGACGGAAAATGTTTCCATTCTAGGAGGGCTGTGAAGACGGGATCTGTTCCAGGCCTCTCTCCTTGCTACTGCTTGTGTCTTCTGGTTGTGAGAGGATAACTCTAGCCTTTACATGGCAATCTCTGTGTGTAACTGCCTATCTCTGAATTTCCCTCTTTTTTTTTTTTTAAAGATTTTATTTCTTTATTTGACAGAGAGAAAGCACACTCGCACAACAAGCAGGGGGAAGGGCAGAGGGAGAGGAGAAGCAGACTCCCCACTAAGCAGGGAGCCTGACATGGGGCTCAATCCCAAAATCCTGGGATCAAGACCTGAGCTGAAGGCAGATGCTTAACCAACTGAGCCACCCAGGTGCCACTCGCTCTTTTTATAAAAACCCCAATCATACTGGATCAGGGTCCATCCAAGTGACCTCATTTTAACATGATTGCCTCTGTGAAGACTTTGTGTCCAAATAAGGTCACATTCTGAGGTACTAGGGGGTTAGGACTTCCACATATGAATTTGGAGGAGCCACAATTCAGTCTATAATACCAAGGATGGAGGGCCATGTCACATGCTGGCAGAGGAGGGGTGGTTGCCCACCTGGCATCCACTCACAGACATCCGAAGGCCAGAGATCTGACTTGTCCCTGGCCCTTGTCTGGACAGAGCTGAGCTGCTATGTCAGGCTCCCTGAGGGTACAACTAGCAGAACTGAGGTTTCTCAGCTATTGGGAGTTTTGTGTGGGGACATGGGGGAAATTATAAAGGAACAGGAAATTGAATCACTAGTCTCCTGACAAGGCCTTAGGAAGCCTGAATATCGCACAGGAAACAACTGCAGTTGTAGTCAACTTTGAGGAGAAACGCAACAGAGCTCCAGACATTCTGCAGCTCTAATGTGGGGTGACCTCTTTCCTCCACAGAGATGCCAAGTCCATTACTCCCTACTCTAGTATTCTGTATTCATTCAACAAGCCGTGATTGAACATGTCCCATTTATCAGGCAGCATGCTGGAGAGACTGATGAGCCAAACAGCTCTGGTTCCTGCCTTTAAAGAAATTATAGTCACCTAGGGGAGACAGCAATAAATAGGCAAAGGAGACAAGTATGTGATTTTCAAGTAAGGAAAGTGCTAAAAGGATAGTGAGCAGTGTAATCTAACTCATTTGTTTGTTTATTCATTTATCCATTCGTTTATCCAGTACCTATTTTGTAAGTCCATACTGTATGGAGGCACTAGATTAGGCATCAGAGAAACCGTAGAGAATAAGATAAATATTTCTTATTCTCTTCCTTCATACAATGGGGAAAGACAGACAAGGATCAAATAAGGAAATAAAATATATAGTATGCAGATGGTGTTGGTTGTGAGGCAGAAAAATTCAGTTGGGAGGGCGGTGAGAAGGAATTCTAGGGAGAGGAAGTTACTTTTAAAGAGGATGGTCAAGGGAGATGATCCTGAGAAATGTCATTTAAGCAAACATCTGAAATAAGTGAGGGAGCAAGTGATGTGGATATCAGCAGGAGGGGCATTCTAGTAGAGGGAAGGGCAGAGCAAAGGCGGAGAGGCAGGAACTTGCCTTGTATATTAGAAGAACAGAAAAGGGGCCAGTGTAGCAGAGTGAGCAAAGAGGAGAGTTCTAGAACACAAGGACAGAGAAGTGGCAGACAGCTAGGTCAGAGGACCTTGTGGCTGTTATAAGGATTTTACCTGTTCGATGAGATGAGATGAGATGAGATGAGATGAGATGAGATGAGATGAGATGAGATGAGATGAGATGAGATGAGATTAGGGTTCAGGGTTTGGGTCAGGGGAAGGAATGAACCAATCCAGTAATTCTTTACATTCCAGCTCCTACCAGTATCAACTCATAATTCTGTCTACTTTCTATCTCCCACCATTATAAATCCCAACTCAACGTCTTAGTTCTTGCCAATATCAACTCCTGACTGACTATTTCTTGACTCCATCTGCTGTCAACTCTACTCCACTGCCAGCCCTGCCACTGTCAACTTCTGACTGTATCTAGTTCCCAGCCCCTACTTCTATCAACCCCCACTGTGTCCAGTTCCTAGCCCCCATTACTGTCAACCCCCACTGTGTCCATTTCCTAGCCCCCATTACTGTCAGCCCCCACTGTGTCCATTTCCTAGCCCCCACACTGTCAACTTCTGACTTCTACTCCCCAGCTCCTGCCAGTATCTATTCTGACTCCACTTCTTAATTCCTGCAATCATCAACCCTTGACTCTGTTTACTTCCTAATTCCCACCACTACAACTCCTAATCTTCTCAACTTCTTAACTTCTGTCACTCTCAGTTCTCTCTCTCTACTCCCACTCAACCTCATGACCTTTGCTCCCACTACCTCATGACTCATGCCCATTGCTTTCTCTGCTGTGTCTCAGCTTCTGCCCCCCTATCCCATAGGTTCTTGTCTATATGTCTCATATTCAAAGTACACCAGACTCACAATCATGCAGGCTGGTTGCAACTCTGCAGTCTAGCACACCCTGTAGGCAGAGCTCTTACAGCAAGCTGGCTAACGACCCAGCCACTGGACAGCCAAAGAGAGCTGCCTCTGGATCAAAGTATATGATGAAGTTAATGTGGTCACAAGACATCCTGCCTGAAGAGGATGTCTTGGTCCACTTACTTGGTCCACTCTGCTTGGTCCACTTACTTAGAATAGAGACACCTACACTGTGTTGTCCAGAACAATCAGAGCAGACCTAGTCTTATTTCACAAGCAGCTGTTCTCATTATACCCTTAGGGTGTAAGTGGTGGCTAGAAGCGTTCCTTCCACCCACAACCCAAAAATATTTTCCCCACTGGTCTTCCATGAGACTGAAAATATATTATCAGAGATTTACTCCTTTAGAATGAGACCTTGCCTTTTCTAGGATCCTAATTTAAAATATATCCCCTGAGCAACACACACACACATACACACACACACACACAAAACACCCGCCTGCAGAGAGCTATGTGCTCTATCCCTAACATATCCAAGATAACACTATAAAGCAGGATAAGAACACTGGTTTCCTCAGTCAACAGGGACACAAAAGCAGCAGAAGTCTGAAGTCCCTGAGATAAATTCTGCTGTCTTGACTATTCACCAGTGACCTACACTAGCCCTCACTCCATGTTGTCAAGTCTATCAGTCACCTACTGATCCCTTTCCATTTGCTGGCCACTAAGCATTGGGACAACTTGCTGAAGGTGACTGTGCTTCTGGAAAAGTTTCATGGGACATTAGCAGTGACCACTGAGGAGGTGGGCAGGATTTTAAAATTTCCACTAACTTATCTTCCTCCTCACATTTAACCTGTTTAGATTTTTCTTGGACATTGTCTAGAAAAACCAACGAGTTTGGGACCTTGTTTACAAAACCTATGCTGTCCACACAGTTCTGTTTGCATGGCCAAGTACTTGCTTGCTTTCGACTGATGAATCCAGCTTGCCTTTTAGAGAATGTAAAGTCTGCTTCCCAGGTAGATGACAGCTAAGGCCATATAGCAGCAGCTCTTAATAGTATAACTGGCCTGTGCTTAGTGAAAACCTACCCTGCAGGGCTTGATCAGTCAAAGATGGAGGCATCTGAAGCCCTGAATATCTCCCCCTGGGAGACAGCACAAAAGCTGATGTCACTGCATGTGCCTGCTGTCTCATAAAGCAAAAGTTATTTCATGTCTGCTAAGTGGAAAGAGGGAGAGGGAGGGAAGGAGGGGAAAAAAGAATGGGGGGAAGGGGAGAGAAATGCTAATAAATATATGGCAGATATAAGGAGTTACAATAAAAAAAAAGGAGTTACCCTCAAACTTGAAAGGAATAATGGGGTGCATATGAGGGAAAAAAGCACAGCATAATTTTTTTTTGAATTTAGATCTTAATGAGAGTAACTGAATGGAGAACCTTAGGGGAAAGGCAAGATAGAGAAAAGATTCCTCAGAACCTAGAACAATACTATTATTGAGAGGAGGTTTCATTCTGTGAATCAAATGTATAAAATAAGCAAAAAGGCTTGCTCCCTTCTATTTTTCAGGGATATTTCTTCCACCAAATTGCAAGCCCTGCCTAGCTATGGATTGGGGTCCATTCAGACACTCATTGCCACATCATCCTACGCTCTAAAAAAACTGCCATCGAGGGAAAAATTTACCAGCCTCCTGGATGCCACACTGACTTACCCCAGCCACTGCTGTGCTTTTAGAAACTTGCCAAAAAGAGAGTAAGTAAAAAACAAAAGGTAGAGCCTACCAAGCTGTGGTAAAAACAGATTTCAAAACAGTCAACTCTGGGCAGCTTCCTGCCCCTTCACTCCCTGCTCTAGATCAGCTCCATAGCCATGAGGTCACTTTCAGAGAGACAAGAAGAAAATGAGCCATCCTGTTTCCTTCTGAAAACTGATTCTGAACAGTTGATTCACCCTACAGCTGCAAGACCTTTGTAGCCTATTCTGGGCTAACTGAATTATAACCTTAAATCAGGCCATAATTGTAGTTGCAAAATGGAGTACAGAACTGGCCTTTTAAAGATTAGCTCTAATCTTTATCAGAGAACATCATTTTTAAAGAAGGAGGGAAATAGGCACAAGAGAGTAAATTTTACCTAATCTTAGTAAAATCTGAATCTTTAGTAAAAAAAAAAAAATGGACACAAAACTCTACAGAAGACTTTTTCTTTTTTTAAGCTATTTCTCTCCCAGCAAGAAGACCATCTTTCATTTTAGAACAGAATCCTAGCTCCCTAAGGATTAGCTTAGTGTCAGAACAAAAAGGGCATGAGCTCCTGGCTGATTTGTGTCCAGTGGGGACATCTTACTGATTTCACTGATACTCTACAATCCAGAACGGCATGACAGAGTGTGCAGGATTTCATTCTTTCCTTAAAGATTGTTTTCTAGACTTTTTTTTCGACTGAGATAGATACTAATACCTTTTTTTACATCACAAGCCAGTATACATGTCACATAGGTAAAAAAAAAAAAAAAAAAAAAAAAAACAGTACTTTTTTACGTGTGTGATAAACACGTATTTTTCTTGTCTATTTTACTCTATTTTATTTCATGTGTTTGTGTTTTTAATACTAGTCCCGATGCACTCTATCGTTTCCACAACCCACTAATGGGTTACAATTCATAGTTGGAAAACATTTGCCCTACAGGGCTATTATTCAGGCTAAGAAGATATTCTCAATTAATTAGATGACATGCTAGAAGAGTGACACGAAGATGCTGCTGTCTTTGTTTGGAATCAATCTATTTATAATAAATCAACCAACATGTATTATTGTGCATCTACTTTGTGCCTTGCAGAGGTGCATGAAGCCCTATCTGAAGTTTTGAGGTAACCAAGAAGACAAAGCACTCGGAGAGCCATGCACCATTAACTGAGCTTCAAAGAATACTACTTGAGCACTTAGTAAACTGTGCAAAATCTGTGCAAAAATCTGAAGATACAAAGATAACTAAGAGCTCATCCCACCCTCCCAGAGTCACAAACAGCTGTGTGGGGGCAACACACAAGAAACCAATGTTTAAGTACAATTCAGCAGATATAATAGTAGTGCTAAGAACAGAACAGAATACTCTGGGAACACAGAGGAAGAGTTTCTAAACAGCAACAGGACTTCTGGAAGGCTTCCTGCAGAACTGACTTCTGCTGAGCTTTGGAGAAAGGAGTAGGAGTTGGCTAGGCAGGTGTGGGTAAAACTATGCCAAGAAGACAAAGTAGTTCATGTGAAGGCACAAAGGCAAGAGACCGAGGATGGAAGTCCTTTGGAAAAACTGGAGCAAGGTGATTTATGGGTACACAGAGAAAACAGAGAGAAATGGACTGTGATGGGCTCTGAGTGCCTGGGCCAGGTTGTTCAGAGGATGGGGAACCACTGAAGAACTCAAAGCGAAACTGCCCAGATTTGCTTTTGTAAAATAACACTCCAGCAGCTCTGAAGGATGGCTTGGAGGTAGCAAAGCTGGTAAGAGACCAATTTGAAGAACAATACAGACACTGGTTTATGGTAAAGCGGATTCTGGACACCTCAACTTTTGTGGCAAAGAGGTCACATCCCTTCTGAAATTACTGGCATGTGAAAACATTAGTTCAGGAGATATTTATTCCAGTAGATGAGAAAGACTACCTCTGGGTAAAAAAGGGGAGGACAGGAGTATGCAATTGTAGGCCAGTATCAAAGTGAGATGGGAAGAGAGTAACATAGAAGTTGTCTTGATGGGATTACAAGCTTTAATGGACTCCCTCTGTATCCTTAAAGCTTGAAACTTTGGATGCTAGTGAGGCCAGAGAGCCTGAAGCTGAGCCAGTGGAATGTTTATGCAAACTCTGAGCCACCCCTCTGCCCTGCAGCTGCTGGGCCTGGATAACACACACAGCTGCCTAGGCAGATGGCCCCAAAGACCTCCCTGGTATCTATGATTAAAATTTCAAAAAAGAGTAGATGGAACCCAGTGCTATCAACTGAAGGCTAAGAACAACCACATTTCCTGTTAACTATAGATTGGTCCACACATAAGATTGGTCCACTCTAAGTGTCAGATACAGAGCCAGCATCAAACACACACACACACACACACACACACACACACACACACACACATCTTTGATCCAAATTTGAGGATTTATAAGCCTGACCCAAAATAACAAGCTGATTAATTTTTGAAAGCAGGTCCAGTAGGTCAAATAGTTCTGCTATATTATCCACTTTCCTGCCTTGTATACAAAGTTATCTGTACAAGGAATTGTCTGGTTAATATTGGAGAAGAATGATATACAGAAATCTCTAGTTTCAATTGCCTCATTTCTATTTCCTCCTCGAGAAAGGTTGAGCTTCTCATCACTTTCTCTCTTTCCCTCTGTATCTTCATCCAGTTTTCCTTGGTACCTCCTTTTGGTTTCATCTTAGGAATAGAAGTACAGGTCTCTTTTAATATCTTGATACTCCTCCCCTTTCCATTAGGTTAAACTTCTTGGAACGATGGAGGAGTAGGGAGCACCCACATAGATTTCTGAAAAAAGGCAGAAAATTCACACCATAATATCAAGTATAGTATCTTCAAATCCTTACAAAACAGATTTCCCAGTTACGATTCAAAGCCATGAATTCTGAATGGTTATTTCTTCATCAAGAGCAATGTGGTAAAGAGAATGGTAAGGAGCAAACCCTGATATACCATAAAGGTAGTTTTTAATAAGCATTGAAAAACCCATGATTCAACATGACCGATTTAGGTTTATTCATCTCTTGAGCCCACACAAAACATTTAGCATTCCGGAACATTTTATCTAAGCTGGAAGCACTCTAATAACAGTTCTGAAGCCTTTACTCTCTCCCCAGGAAATGTTTCAGGTAGGACAATAGTACAGAGCATCACTGGTATAATAGGTAAAGAATTTGGATGAACAAAGCATAAATAGACATGATCATGTTTAAAGACCAAAAGCTCAACTGTTTTTTTTTTTTAAACCTTTTTTCTTTCAGGCAGAATTTTTCATTTTCCATTTTTGAAAACTTTTCCAAACAATGTGAAAGCACAGCAAGGAGACCAGATAATGAAATGCTGTAAGTATTTGCATGCAAAGAAACTCAGGAAGCCATGTCTCGTTCTCTGTGCACCTTATTATCAGTGCCAATGATTTTCTTCTGATAAAAGTCTTCACTGGGGGGATGTTTGCAAAGCACTTTTTAATAGATTAAAAATGGGATTTTTTTCTTTGTAAGCGGCATCCAGTTGATCTCTTTTAACTGTTAAAAAAAAAACTCTTCTAAAAATGTATCTTTATGTTCATTCTACAATTAAATTCTTCTCAGAAATTAAAATTTTATTTGTAGGTATTCTGAGGTCATTAAAGGCTTGCTTAAATGATAGCTTAATTTGTAGAAATTTTCACTAGTCAGTGGTCAGCATTCCATAAAGTAACTGATTGCAGACATAGCTTCTAGAAGTAGCCACTTGCCTTAAAAAGACTCAGGCCACCTTGACCACTGTACTCTGGAGCTTAAAATTATTCAACCTCAATGCTATCGCTAACATACACTGGATGGGAGCTCTGTTTCTATTCTACTGACTGATTTTTTTTTTAACATTTTTCCTGGCTGCCTTGGCATTTCACATATCTTCAAATGTAAAAGAGTATGCTTCAAAAGATAATCCCAGTGTCCCTGTGCCACATTTACTATGATTTATAAGTTTTATTATTCCCCCCATGTGTCTTTCAGGCTACAAAACCAGATGCCCTTCTAAGACACCTTGTCATTCTCCATTCTCTTTTCATCTTCTTTTCTTTTCTCTTGCTTTTTCCCCCATCAATCTGCAAGTTATATAGAGGCAGCAGGGTGGTATGATGGAAAGACCCTCGGCTTTGGATATGAATTCTTGGCAGTGATGTTCCTGTAACACTGGGAATCCCTGGGCAATACTTACTTTTGGAGACATTTTTCCTCATCTTTGAGGGGCAGCAGGAATATCATTTGGCTTTCAGACCATGAGAATGAAGGGAGTCGTTAAAGAATGTGACAGCATCTGGGGTACGTTAGAAATAGCATACTCTGTAATCCTTCTTTTCTCTTTCATTTAGGTCTGACACCAAGTATATTCCAGTGTTCCTTTTCCTTATCATTTTTGTTCTTGTCTTGATATTTTGTCTGTCACTCATCTTCCTTGTAACTCTTTTGTAACCTATGGCTTTTTTCCTCATCAATAGGAAACACTCCTGGACAGGAGACTTTAGCCCACTCTCAATAATCCTTGTCAATCCCACCCCAAGCCTTCCCAAATAAGGCTACAATCTTGAGTTTGCTACGCTAACACTGCTTTAAAACAAATCCCCCAAGCTCCAGCATCCCCAAAGATTATTAGTAATAATCTAGGTAGAAAGAATATACTCCACCACCCTCCTTCCCATTACCTTGCTATTCCTAAGTCCCTGGAGTTCAGAAATTCTAGAGCCAGGCACTAAGTTTTACCTACTCTCCCCAGGATCTCAGTGTCCTTGCTGTTAGGGCTGGCCCCATTGTTCTCCTACAGTCTCCATCTTTCCTCCTGTCTTTGTTCACTGTGATGGGAGTGGCCTCTCCTTCCTCTGACTCAGTGTTGTAGGTCTATGGGGTCCATTCATACCATTCTGTACTAAAGACTGCTCCCTGCTGGGTTTTGTCAATAAGCATGCTGCTGCCCTTAGGAGCTGTCCCAGGACACAAATGTAAGTGGCAGGAGGTAGGTATTTGGTCTGAAGACAAATCACCAAGGAGAAAAACTCCTAGACACATGCTCAGTAGGGCAGAAAAAGAAAGAGCAAACGACCAGAGGAATGAGAGAGGGAACATGTTTGACCTCCTATTGATATAAATGTTTTCAGAAATCATGGCAGAATTTTTAGAAGCTTTGAATTAGTGCTTCTGACGCAATTTAATTAATAGCTGCTACAGTCGTTTTGATAAGGGGAAAGGAGCAAGGGAAATTAAGGTAGCAATAGTTGGAAAGGTTTCACCTGGTTTAGTAAAGGCTATTATTTGTAGGAATCATCCAGGGAACTTGCTTAAAAAACAGATTCCTGGGCTCTGTCCCTAGAGAATTTGACTCTGAGTTTGAGGTAAAGCCAGGAATCTGCATTTTAACAAACACTCTGGTGATTCTGATGGAAATAGTGCAAGGACCACACTGAAAAGCACTGACTGAGAAACAGTGATGTAGAGGAAAGGCCCTTACTCTATGGATATGAACACCTACCCACCGCTGCTGCTACTACACTTTAGGGATTTTAGGCTAATCACTCACCTCCTTTAATCTCGGATTCCTCACCAATAAAATGCGAGGTTCAGTGAGATGGTCTTTAGGAACCTTTCTAATGCAAATAAATAACCTAGGGATCCCTGGGTGGCGCAGCGGTTTGGCGCCTGCCTTTGGCTCAGGGCGCGATCCTGGAGACCCAGGATCGAATCCCATATCGGGCTCCCGGTGCATGGAGCCTGCTTCTCCCTCTGCCTGTGTCTCTGCCTCTCTCTCTCTCTCTCTGTGTGACTATCATAAATAAATAAATTTAAAAAAAAAATAAAATAAATAACCTATTTTCTTTCGTCATTCTTTATAACCACCACATCCCTTTAAAAATTAAAAAAAAAATAGGTAATTCTCTTAATAGGCATGAGATGAGGACAAATGCACCTGTATTTAGTAATAAAGCAGGTGAGGTTCCTGTGCAATCTCCTATGCATAGCAGCAATCCTTGACTAGTTCCAAAATGGTTTCTAAAGAATTTCTAGCACCATTTTGGAGTTGCAGATCATAGATTTTTTAATTCTTTTTTTTAATCTGTGTTATTTCCCTTCAGTAATTGTATTGCTCGAATATTTCATCCACTCCCTGAATTAGGTTCACACTTCCTTGTTCAGAACATGAGAAGCTAAATTTTTAGAGTAGAGAAAAATACTCTTTTAACGTGTGAAAAACCCTAAGGTAAAATACATATTTGTAAGAAAAATTATGCCCATTTCTCTAGCTCCCAAGATTATATTAGCAAACTATGAGCAAAGAGAAAATTTGTTGAGCCTACATGCATCATACTGTACACATTCATTGTCCCTGTATCCTTTCAATTCCTCTCAGAGCCAGGATCACCCTGGTCTACTCATTCCACAAGCATTTATTGAATGGATAGTCTGTGCCAAAACTGTGTGAGGCACTGGGAGTTCAGAAATAAATAAGACCTAGTCCCCTGCCTTCAAAGTTATTAAAGAATAGCTTCACAGACTATTAAAGAAGACACACATCATCACACAATGGCAGTATAGTTTGATAATTACAACAGTCCTTAAATGCAGCCATGGCAGAGAGATGAGGTGATAAACTCCTTGGAGGTGTAGAATCAAGAAAGGCTTCATAGAGAAGCTTACCTTTAAGGATGAGGAATTTGCCAGAGATGAGGAAAAAGGAAGGGAAGAAGAAACAGCACATACAAAGACAGAGGGATGAAAGAGTAGATTCTGAGAGCCACAAGTCATTTCATCTAACTGAAGGGAAGGCTGCTCGAGGTATCTGCAAAAGATAATTATAAGAATCCCTAACATTCAGTGAGCACTTAATATGTGTCATGCATTATTCTAAACATTCTATAGGTGTTAATGCAGTTAATCCTTAGCACAACCCTAATGTGGGAAGTATGATTTGTATACCTATTTGGCAAATGAAGAGCTTGAGGCACAGAGACGGTAACTCTCCCACCCAGGATTACATAGCCTGTAAAGACCGGGATCCAGTCAGTCTTGCTCCAGAGCCCATGTTCTGAATTGTGCAGCACTACTGCTTCCTGGAAGTGAGACTGAAGGGGGAGGCAGAACCCGGATCATTTAGGACTTGGAGGTCATCACAAGGAGTCTGGATTTTATCCCATAGTCAGTGAGAACCTAGTAAAAATTTGAACACATTTGTACTTAAGAAAGACTATTCCAGGAGGAAGGTACAAGTGGACTAGGACAGGGCTAAAATTGGGGATGGATGCTGGGTGGGGGGGGGACTAATGTAACTATCCTGTAAGAAAGGATGAAAACCTGAACTCCGTTAGTTGCAGTAGGCATGGGAGGAAGCGGGTGGAGAGGTGGGGCTGTTCCATCAGTAGAGATGGAGTCCCTCTCCAATTCACTCTCTGAATTTGATTCATACCCCTTAAAGAGTATCTATTGTCCCTATTTCTCAAGGGGAACATTTCTCCCTATTGTTCATGTCTATCATCTCCCGCTAGGTTTCTAGTAGTCCATCCTTGCTTTCCACTTCTCACCTGCACTATTTGATTAGCCAGGGACCAATGTGCAAGCTAGTCTACCCGTAGCTAACACCCCTCAGCAGTGTGAGCCTTCCCTACCCATTTGTGTTCTGCTACAGACACGCGGCTTGAGAGCAGTTTGGCGGGCAACTAAATGAGATAAATACCTAAGAAAATGCCAAGAAAGGATTCTTTTAGACATAGCAAACACATACTGTGTCTCTAATTTTTTTTCAAAGGAAAATCATCCCCTGTAAACAGCTTCATTAAGTCTTTGCATCAATATGAGATAAATATAAATTGCTCTTCATTCCCCTAAGGAATTCCTTATCAATTCAGAGTTCTCAGATAATGTAACAAATAAACCTAAGACTAAGGCTGTTGTAGCTTTGTTTCCTGGGATTTAAAAAGAAAAAATACTAAGGATGACTCTTCAATTTTTTGATACATAGAATCATAGAAAATCTCTTGAGTTTACATTGAGACAAAACATTCTTCTTACAGTTATTCTGCCGTCTTTGCTGAGAGTGAACTGAGTGACTGGGATTATGACTATGGTTTCTGCTCACCCAAGATACTCCGATGTGCTCCTGAACCAGATGCTTTTAATCCCTGTGAAGATATTATGGGCTATAACTTCCTTAGGGTACTGATTTGGCTGATTAATATCCTAGCCATCGTGGGAAATGTGACTGTTCTCTTTGTTCTCCTGACTAGTCGTTATAAACTGACAGTGCCCCGTTTTCTCATGTGCAATCTCTCTTTTGCAGACTTTTGCATGGGGCTCTATCTGCTGCTCATTGCCTCAGTTGATTCCCAAACCAAAGGCCAGTATTATAACCATGCCATAGACTGGCAGACAGGGAGTGGGTGTAGTGCAGCTGGCTTTTTCACTGTATTTTCAAGTGAGCTTTCTGTCTACACCCTCACAGTCATCACACTAGAAAGATGGTACACCATCACCTATGCTCTTCAGCTGGACCAAAAGCTGCGTTTAAGACATGCCATTCCAATTATGCTTGGAGGATGGCTCTTTTCCACTCTTATCGCCATGTTGCCCCTTGTGGGTGTCAGCAATTACATGAAAGTCAGCATTTGCCTCCCCATGGATGTAGAAACCACTCTCTCACAAGTATACATATTAACCATCCTGATACTCAATGTGGTGGCCTTCATCATCATTTGTGCTTGCTACATTAAAATTTATTTTGCAGTTCAAAATCCAGAGCTGATGGCTACCAACAAAGATACAAAGATTGCTAAGAGAATGGCGGTCCTTATCTTCACTGATTTCACCTGCATGGCACCGATCTCTTTTTTTGCCATCTCAGCTGCCTTCAAAATGCCCCTTATCACAGTAACCAACTCTAAAGTTTTACTGGTTCTTTTTTATCCTGTCAATTCTTGTGCCAATCCATTTCTGTATGCAATTTTCACAAAGGCATTCCAAAAGGATTTCTTTCTGTTGCTGAGCAAATTTGGCTGCTGTAAACGTCGGGCTGAACTTTATAGAAGGAAGGATTTTGTGGCGTATACCTCCAACTGCAAAAATGGCTTCACCAGATCAAATAAGCCTTCTCAGTCCACCCTGAAGTTGTCTCCATTGCAGTGTCAATATACGACTGTCCCAGACAAGACTTGCTGTACAGAGTATTAACTATTTTATCAGTAACCACATTACTGAATTGTGCTTAAAAATGTAAAAAAAAAATGATCTATACTAGTAATTTTAACATAAGGAGTTGGTTTTAGGAAATTATTTATTCTCAGGCACACACTAGGCAAAAAAGAGCCATCTACCTAACTCAAAGTGTTATCCATGACCATTGCCAGTCTAAAAATTGCCATTGGTACAGGATGACATAAAACACAGAAGCTGAGAGTGTTAAAAACATTTCTAATGGGGAGTCCAGGTGGCTCAGCGGTTTGGCGCTGCCTTAAGCCCAGGGCCTGATCCCGGAGACCCAGGATCGAGTCCCACGTCAGGCTCCCTGCATGGAGCCTGCTTCTCCTTCTGCCTATGTCTCTGCCTCTCTCTCTGTCTCTCATGAAGAAATAAATAATCTTAAAAAAAAAACATTTCTAGCAATTTTGACAGTAATTTATGTTGAATCTAAAAATTTTTAGGGATCCCTGGGTGGCGCAGCGGTTTAGCGCCTGCCTTTGGCCCAGGGCGCGATCCTGGAGACCCAGGATCGAATCCCACGTCGGGCTCCCGGTGCATGGACCCTGCTTCTCCATCTGCCTGTGTCTCTGCCTCTCTCTCTCTCTCTGTCTCTCTGTGACTATCATAAATAAATAAAAAAATTTAAAAAAATAAAAATAAAAAAATAAAAATTTTTAAATGAGATGGTATTTTAACTATCTTTGGGTTTGCTTTTTTTTCACATTTCATCTTTGTAGTGTTTTTATATTGCATTTTATTAAAATATTAGTATATAACAGATTTGAAATTTAAAATAACTCGTCCTTTTCCTCAGATAGTTTGGAAAAACACTCTTCAGGGATGCACTATACAGTGTGGTAGCCACTAGCCATAGGCAGCTAAATGAAAATTAAAATTAAAATGTAGTTTCTCCCATAAAACTACAAGAAGAAAATATAGGCTGTAATTTGACATTAGGCTTAGCAACATTTTTCTAGATAGTCTCCTCAGGCAAGGAATGCAAAAGCAAAAATAAATATTGGGACTATATCAAAATAAAAAGCTTTTGCACAGCTAAGGAAACTATCAAGAAAACAAAAATGCAACCAACCTGGTGAATAGGAGTATATGCAAATGACATGTCTGATAAGGTGTTAATATCCAAATATAAAGAACTCATATAACTCAACACCAAAAAAAAAAATCAAATAATCTGATTTTAAAATGGGGAGAAGACCTGAATAGACATTTTTTTCAAAGACGACCTACAGAACCAACAGACACATGAAAAGATGTTCAACATTACTAATCATCAGGAAAATGCTAATGAAAACCACAATGGGATACCACTTTACACCTGTGAAAATGGCTAGACTCAAAAAGACAAGAAATAACAAGTGGTGGTAAGGATGTGGAGAAAAGGGAACACTTATGCACAGTTGGTGACAATGTAAATTAGTGCAGCCACTGGGGAAAACAGTATGGAGGCTCCTCAAAAAAAATCAAAATAGAAATATACAACCCAGTAATTCCACTTCTGGGCATTTATCAAAAACAAAAGAAATACTAATTTGAAAAGATATATGAACCCTATGTTTATTGCAGCATTATTTAACAAGAACCAAGATATGGAATCTCAAGGATTCATAGACAGATTAAAATGAAGGAGGTTTGGAAAATATAGACATACATACACAGATACACATACACACACAATGCAATACTACTCAGCCATAAAAAAAACCCTATGTTTATTGCAGCATTATTTAACAAGAACCAAGATATGGAATCTCAAGGATTCATAGACAGATTAAAATGAAGGAGGTTTGGAAAATATAGACATACATACACAGATACACATACACACACAATGCAATACTACTCAGCCATAAAAAAAAAAAAAAAGAGGTGGTATCTTGCCACTCACGAATGGATGGACCTAGAGGGTGTTAGTGAAATAACTTAAAAAAGAAATGTCTTCATAAGTACAAAGAACAAATTGGTTGTACAGAGGGGAGAAAGGTGGGAAGATAGGCAATATAGGTAAAGAGGATTAAAAGGTATAAATTTCCAGTTATAAAATAAATACATCACAGGGATGAAAAGTGTACCATAGAGAATATAGTCAATAACATTGTAATAATAACTCTGTATGGTGACAGATGGTAACTACATTCATTGTGGTAAGCATTTTGCAATTTATATAACTGTCAAATCACTGTTTTACACTTGAAACTAATATAATGTTATAGGGTCAACTATACTTCAATTAAAAAATTTTAAAAATTTAAAAATAATCTATGTGATACTATAATGGTAGATACAGGCCATTATATATTTATCTGATCCATAGAATATACACAAAGAGTGAGCTCTTACATAAACTATGGATTCTGATGAGTCAATATAGGTTCATCCATCACAGCGTATGTGCCACCCTCGTACGGGATATTGATAATGAGGAAGGCTGTGTGTTGTGTGGTGGGGGGAGTGGGTATATGGGAAATCTCTCTACATTCCACTCAATCTTACTGTAAAATACTCTGTCAAAGTCTGTTAAAATTAAAAATTTGAAAGCAAAAAATTAGAAATAAAAAAATAAGGCAAGTTGCAGACATCAGTATTCATCAGCCCTAGACACTTCAGTGTGCTTATCACTAACCAGGCTCAGTATTTTACGTTTTAGGCAAGACTTACAAATGGTAAAATGGAAAAATGCTAAGCATACCATTTAATGAGGTTTGAGAAATGCCTAAGTCCCTGTAACCCCAAACCTCTGTGAAAACAGAACACTAGCACCCTCAGGAAGTTCCCTCATCATCCTTCCTAGTTAATCCCACAAATCCCATTCCACAAAGGTAACAATGGTTCTGATTTTTTCCCCATAGATTAGTTTTGCCTATTCTAGAACTTCATATAAATGGAATCATACAGTATACACTGTTCTGTAAGCCTGCTGTGATTCAACTCAATGTTTTTGCTATTCATCCAAGCTGTCACTTGAATTAGTAGTTCATTCCATTTCATTGCTGAGTTTTAAGACTCTAACGCTGTTTTCCATTCTACTGATGATGGATATCTGGGCTATTTCCAGTTTTTAAGCTCTCCTTTCACATTTTATTAAATAAATGTATAGTCACAACTAGACTATGTATTTCATCTGCGTTCAACCTTTATGCCACTGTGTAAAGTGATTCAAAATAGCCTATAGAAGATCATAAGCTTTACAAAGTATCTCTTCTATGTTTTTCACATTTTTAAGATTTCATTTATTTATTTCATGAGAGACAGAGAGAGGCAGAGACATAGGCAGAGAGAGAAACAAAACAACTAAGTAAGCAAAAAAGCAGAAAGTCAAATAAATATAAAATAAAATACATCCTAGTGGAGAAACTGTTTAAATTATGTCTTCTTAAATATTGTTTGAGCCTAAGTACTTGTATATATCCTCTGAAAATAACTTTTGTTGCCTTTCCCACAAATACTGATTTTTATTCTCTATATGATAATTTAAGTTTCAACATAGAGTTAGTTTACTCTCTCCCTCATGCTCATATCCTATCATTCACTAAGACCTACCAGTTGTTGAATGTCATTGAATATCTTCTACATCAAGTCTGTATTTTGCATTCTTCCTGCCCCACCCACACTTCAGGCCATTCCCATTTACCTCAGAAGTGCTATCGTATCTTCCTCATTTTTATCATATCCAATATTTGCCATGTCCATATTCTCATACCCACCTCTGATTAATCTCCCTAAAATCCTATTTCGTTCTATTACATATTTGCCAAAATCCTGAGTAGCACATCAGTACCTATAAAGTTTTAGCTCCTAGACTAATATTCAAAGACTAATATTCCATTCTCAAATTTGTTCACTTGGTCTCCTGCTGTTCTTCTGCATGAAATAAACTGTTCCACTTGCTTTTCCCTAGCATGTCCCACAACATGTCCACCATTGTTACCATCAGAATACATTCTTCTTACCCATCCTCCTTCTGCAGCCCTTATGACCCCAGCCACAGGTTTATCTTTGTTACCAAGCTCTCCTAATCCACCTCCTCCCTAATCCAATTTAAGATACTTCCTTTACCTGAAATAAAGGCATAAATAATAAATATGTAACTACAACAATTTCTCTTTGGATTTCTTTTGGACCTGTCATCCCTATCATTCATCTTTTATTCTACATGCTGAGTGTTATTATCCTTACACATATACCTCTTATTTCATCTATTTTATAAATTTTTTAGTGATAAACTCATCTCTTTTGCTTATTCCTCCTACTCTATCTATCCTAGAGTCTTATATATGGTAGATGATTAATAAGTTTTTCAGTTGACTCACTTTTATATCTAAAATATAAGACAAATCCTTATGACGAAGTATTTCCCCTTGTGAGATGGTCTCATGTGTATTCTTAATCTATGTAATCCTTTATACATAAATGATAAAAACATCAAATGCTCAGGATATTTTAATTCTACCTTGTGGGTTTGTGTAAGTTTTTTGTGGGTTATCATGTTTGGTATTATCACTGGCAGTTTGCAAAATGACAAAGAAGGGTTAATTAATCCAGAATAACTCCTCTAAACATACAAAATATTTTTAAAAGTTACTTTGTCCTCCATTCCTAACATGTACTATAAAGGGCCTGGTTTTAATTTCCTCAAAAATGTATTAAGTCCACATGTAAATTAAGAATCTTTATGTCACAAAGATTTCAATAAATGTGTTACTAATTAGAAATAATCTCTTCTTTGAAATGTGCAATATTCTTTATTAATATTGAATTTCTTCCTAAGAGTTATTACCATAGCCTTCCTATTTATAATTTAGCTTTCTAGTTATAAATCACCAAGTTCCCACATGGCATATTAGAGTATATTTACATGAAAACAACATAATATTAACCTAATAACAGGAGTCAAAAGAAAATCCCCACTAAATTCCCTTGCTTACCACCCCTATTAACTGTTGCTATTCATTCTAAAAATATTCATTTTCCTA